AGGATCAGGTCTCTGCTTTTTGCAGATGATGTGGTCCTGTTGGCTTCATCAGAATGTGATCTTCAGCTTTCGTTGGAGCGGTTCACAGCCGAGTGTGAAGCAGCTGGGATGAGAATCAGCTCCTCTAAATCTGAGACCATGGTCTTGATTCAGAAAAGAATAGAATCCCTTCTCTGGGTCAGAGATGAGGTCCTGCCCCAAGTGGAGGAGTTTAAGTATCTCGGGGTCTTGTTCATGAGTGAGGGAAAACTTGAGCGTGAGATCGATAGGCGCTGCCGATAGGTGCTGCATCTGCAGTGATGCGTGCATTGTACCGGTCTGTCGTGGTGAAGAGAGAGCTGAGTCAGAAGGCGATTTCGCGAATACAAGAGGTCGAAATGAGTTTTCTCCGAAGAGTGGCTCAGCTCTCCCTTAGAGATAGGGTGAGAAGCTCGGTCATCCGTGAGGGGCTCAGAGTAGACCCGCTGCTCCTCCACATCGAGAGGAGCCAGTTGAGGTTGCTCGGGCATCTGGTCAGGATGCCTCCTGGACGCCTCCCTGGTGAGGTTTTCCGGGCACGTCCAACCGGGAGGAGACCTAAAGGTAGACCCAGGACACGGTGGAGGGACTATGTCTCTCACCTGGCCAGGGAACGCCTTCGGATTCCCCCGGAGGAGCTGGCCCAAGTGGTTGGGGAGAAGGAAGTCTGGGCCTCTCGCCTTAGGCTACTGCCCCCACGACCTGACTCCGGATAAGCGGATGAAAATGGATGGACGGATGAATGGATGGATATTTCTTGTTTATATTTTATTTGAAGTCAACATGAAGAAGCATACAGCAAAAGCTTTACTATTTCACAGTTCCTCTCAAGTTACCGCAAAATAACTCTGTAGTGGCTCTGATCATGTTAATAACATAGATAGACACACAATAATTAAAACATGCAGGTTTAATCAGCTTTTCAGAGTTTTCATTGAATGTTCTCCACAACCGAATGACAGTAAAAGTACCAGTAATATTTTTAGATCTTTTTATGTTTGGTTTTAATTAATTTTCCACAAAAATCAGCATCTCATAGAAAAAAAATCCATACTTTTTTGCTATTTTTCCTTAATTAAGAAACAAAATGATTTTTTTTAACATGGCAACAAATCACTTCTAGATTTTAGGTGAGAGAATAAACATCAGATTCTAATCTCTAAAAAAATCAGATCTAATTTAATGGTGGTTCATTTCAGGGTTAAGGTTCAGGATTTAAAAATAACCCAACAATAGTTTCTTAGAGTTACTTTTTGCCTCAAATTTCTGAGTAAGTGATCAAAGCTTCCATTTATTCTCATTATTTCTTAACTGTGCTTTAAGGGCTCAGCTTGTACGCAAGTATCTGAAACCGCAACACCTTGTCTGTGTTAGAGCCTCCACTGTGTTTATCATGGACCTGTCTAATTACTGAAAAACCTGCTTTTGACCTCTTCATATCAGACTCTGCGCCGAGACATGAAAGAATGACTCAGAAACAACAAAGACTCTGTGGAGTATCTCGGAACACGTTTAATTCACGAGTTTACAGCGTTTTCTCCTCCGTGCTCATTCACGCTTGTTTTGGAGGTTCGAGCGCGCTCCACACACGCTCCGGATCTGCGACAAAGTACCGCCTCCATTTGATTGACAGCAACGGGCAGATTTCTCCATAGTTTCTTCTATAAGATTGAAACTTGAAACGTGAAACTGTCAATAATGCGGGACATTAGTCTCAATTTGCGGGACATGTGAAAAGAAATGAAAATGCGGGACTATCCCGCACAAAGTGGGACATCTGGTCACCCTAGCTCAGGGGTGGGCAATTATTTTTTCCATGGGGCCACATGAGAAATAGAAAATATTGTGGAGGGCCAGGCCAAAAGGCTGAAGTCGATTATGCATAATATTAATGGTATTTCTTCATAAAAAGCAGTAAATACCATCGTTTTTTCAAGCTGGTAAGAGTAGACTATATGTCATAAATGAGCAAAAAGGAAAAAGTGAGGCTGGCTTACAAAAATGTGATTTATTCAAATTTCCCAAGGCAGTGGTAAACAAAGTGTGCGTATTTGGTTTTTGTTAAACATTTGTGACTTATATTAGTTAACAGTTTCAGTCACATTCACTCCAAAACGCATTTTGAGTTTCAAATATTGTTGGAAAGAGGTTCTTAGCATTCTACAGACACACAGTATTGTCTGTAAAATAAAATCACTGAACTGTGATCTTGAGAAAGATGTTTAAAAAAAAAGTGTCCCAGTTCACTGCTAGTTGCCTACATTTGTGGTCCAAACACCTTATTTTGTGTTTTTAAGCGATTTTTTTCTTATTCAGTGAGAGAAATCTAGTCTCTGCTGGGCTTTAACGAGTGCATCAGTCAGGTTGAATGTCTGAGGTGGAGATGCGAAGCACAGCTGACAAATGATCATCAGTGAGAGAGGATCTATACCTGGATTTTGTAAACTTCATCATTGAACATGTTTGTTGACAAATGTAGGTAGAGCCGAAGAAAACCAACATCTTCTGAGCATGTCTCCTCAGGTTTGGAAAGTTCTCCTCCTTAAGAGAAGAGTAGAAATCTAGCAGAGATCCTGAATCTCTGCCTTCAAGTCCCAAACCCTCTTCAGCACTTTCCCCAGGCTTAGCCATCTGACAGCTGTATGGAGTCCTCCAAAAGAGCCACACACTGTCTGTGATTCATTGCCCGCGCCCTGATGAAGTTTATTATTTTAGTAACAACATCAGTAACATGGTTGATCTTTAGCACTGACTTGCACAACACATGTTGGTGTATAATTCAATGCAAAAACACCTATTTTTGATCTGCATCGATTTCTGTCACCTTATCTTGCATGCGTTTCAAAAGTCCACATTTTTCCCTGTAAGATTTGGACAACCGTCTGTTGTGACACCTGACAGTCTCTCCCATTTCAATCCCAGAGTGTCCGTGCACACATTTACCTCTGTAGAAAGATCACTCCCTGTCGTTGTCCCTTTCATCGACCGCATTGTTGCCCGCTCCTCTGTGAGCTCCGTTATCCCCGGACATCACAGCTCTCGTCTAAGGCCAATGAGAAAAAGTCTAAACTTGTCACTTCACGTTGCAGCTGAAGCTCCAGGTTCCACACAATGTCCTCGGTCCTCCTGGTCACGGTTCGCCTGGACAGCGAGATTTGCTCAAATGCACCTTTTTTTTCAGGGCATATTAGTGCGGCAGAGTCAACCATGCACTCTTTGACAAACTCTCCCTCCGAAAACGGCTTGCTGTCTTTAGCTGTTTTGTGGGATATCACAAAGCTGGTCCTGGTTGCTGCATCCCTGGATGTGTGAAGCTTAGTAAAAAAGCCTTGCTGCTTTTGCAACTTTGCTAGCAAAGCTTCGGATGTCCGTGCCCTCTCAGCATCAGACAAGTTCTTGTATTTTTCCGAGTGTTTCTTGTCGTAATGCCGACTCAAATTGTAGTCCTTAAACACGGCAATCTCCTCCCCGCAAACCAAACACACGGCTTTGCCTCCGACTTCAGTAAAAAAAAAATACTTAGCAGTCCAATTTTTGTTGAAAATCCTGCATTTGGCATCTTTCTTTCTTTTTTTTTTTTTGCGTGAGCGGACATTTCTGGGGCTACAATCACACTTGTTGCTATACGTATTGCGTCATTGTGCACGTAAAAACAACTTCAAATCAAAAGCAATGCAGCCTTAGCCCATGCATGAGGTAAAATGAGAAAATACATTTATTTTGTAATTTCCAATTAACCTTACGCGGGCCGGTCAAAGTCAACCGTAAAATGCCCAGGTCTGCCCTAGCTGAAGGCCAGGACACACGATCATACATATAACAGTGGTGGGACTGAAAAGGACAACTCAACACAAGCTGTTATAAGTAATAACAAAAGAGTGAAGAAGGGAAGCAGTGGACGTCTGATTATTTGAGCATAATCTAAGAGTGGAAACAATGCGCATTTTTATGCCAAAGTCAAAGCACTTGATTGAATGAAATAAGGCTTTTAGGCTATAGTCAATTCAACTCAGTTTATTTATAAATCGCTGAATCATGACAAGAGTCGTCTCAAGGCACTTCACAAAGTAAACATTCCAATACAGCCAATCAGGGAAAGTCTCCTATATAGTAAAAATCTATATAAAATGTTACTGATAAGACTTCAGCTAGACCAAACCTTCATTCACTCTCTGTGTCTTTAATCTTTCCCTCCTATTTGTGGACTTTTGGAACCATTTAGTGTGTCAATAGTAAGGCCACAACGAATGATTTAGGTTTTATAGGTAATGAATCGGTTTAGCTGTTTTCACCAACATAAACATCAACAATGCCTGCTTCTTGTGGGTCCACTTCCTGTTCTGGGCTCTGCTGCAGGCCTTAGCTCACCTCAGTCCAAATGCACATCCCAGTTAGAAGATGGTTTTTATTAATTCACCCCAAAATTACGTTTACACTAACGCAAGAAAAACTTAATACAAGCAAATGAACAGTTTTTTTGTTATCTATAGTTTATGTCACATGTTAGAAAATAAAACTAAAAACAGATTCACTGTATTAATGTATGTGTGAATGGATGAATGGATTATTGATTCACCACAGAGTAAAGCACTTTGGAGCTTTGTGACAAAAACGCAGGTCATATATTATTTCTATTCAACCACAACCCCTCACTTTCATTGTCCATATTGTTGATAACACTGTCATGCCGTGGAGATGCTGACTCATCCTTGTAGCCCTTGTTGATTTACAATGATCTCTCCCTGGAGAGGTTAATTATTGCTTAAATCAGAAGCTCTGCACATGATTAAGGATATCAGGAGATATTAGCCCTAATCTGATCCCACTGTATATTTGAGGGTGACATCATCTGTCATTAAACAATCACTCTGAGTCACAAGAGTAAGGTTGAAGCAGCATAATCCTGTTGTGTGTGTGTGTGTGTGTGTGTGTGTGTGTGTGTGTGTGTGTGTGTGTGTGTGTGTGTGTGTGTGTGTACCTACCTCAGTGCCCCACTGAGGATTGACTGTGTTACACACCACCCTGGAGCGTTTTTCCTGGCCGTGGTGCGGCAGCGAAGGGAAGATGCTGTGTTTCCCTGGCTGGATGGAGAGTTTCAGATATGGATCAGGATTGAAGAACATTCCCTTCTTCAGTCCAACAGCCTGCAGGTCTGCCATATGAAAACATAACAGTTTATATATACAGAGATGAACTGTGAGGGTGAAACAGCATCTCAGGATTTATCACTAAAGACTTGCAGCTTATTTCAAAAATGACCACTGGATGTCAGTCTTAATTCACTCTTACATAATGCACCATTAACCATATCTTCTTAACTCAACAAAGATTACCAGTGATTCCACTATGCAAAGCTTCCAGATTAATTTGTTTGAATGCTGTTTATAGCATGCTGTTTACAGGCTGTAAACAGTGAAGCCAAGCCATGTGCCCGCCTCGCTGGGTTGTCTCTAAAGGATGAAGCGGCAGATTCGCGGATCTCTGGTTGCAGGACTGCCTTGTTAAAGGGAACCCATTATAAAGAAAAGGGCACTTTCTGCTCCGGTCTCTGTCAAACAGCTGAAATCTTATCATAAACTCTCATAAAAGATTCAAGTTAGGCACACTACAATTCACACAGATCACCATCCAAGCCTTCTGTTGCTCACACTTTTCAAATTTTTGAATAGGTGCAATACTTTTCGAATGGTAATGAGAAGTTTGAGACTTTCAATCTGGCATCTGAAGCACAAACCCAAAGCCTTTCTCATTGATGTCATTGCAGTTGTGTTAGGGCTGGGCGATATGGCCTAAAATCAATATGACAATATATTGAGGATTTCACCTCGATAACAATAAATGGACGATAACTACGATAACTGCGCGGAAACCAAAGTTGTCCACTAGATGGGGCTGTTGCATGCATTACGTGACTCAAGGTAGTACAGCTTTTTAAAGGGACGTGAATGTTGCCAACCTACACACATAGTTTCATGTTTTTATTATCAAATTTATTGAGATGGGAAAAATATCTCGATAAGAGTCAGAAATTTCGGTAACGATACATTTTCGAATTATTGCGCAGCCCAAAGCTGTGTGACTCCAACAACCAAGGAAAAAGGCAGGAAACCACCCTTTCCCGTTCAGCTTCTCTGGTTGGCTGCGAGTGTTCGAGATTGAAATATCCACCCACACATTTGACACATCAAATTGACAGGCTTGGTCTCAGGAGTCTTGCATTAACTTATAATTGTGTTCTGCATTACCATGGCAAAAAAAGAATTTCACGAACTTTCATACACTACTATACCAACACACTTTAACATAGACATTATTCAGACCGTACCCCTCTGGATTCTGTCCTATAAATAGTCGTTTTGACAAGTTTTAGTGTTTACCTTTATATTAAAGGGGCATTATGGAAGTTTGACAGCCAAAACATGTATAGAAATAATAAATTTCTTCTTCATACATTCTCCTGCAATGCCCTGGTCCTGTAGAATGAGCCCTGGCATTTTTATTGTGATAGCCTATTTTTCTGTAAAATCACAGAAAAAGAGAGCTGCTCGGGTCGAGCAGGCTGCTTCATGCTCGTTCACGCTCAGGCATAGCCCTCCGAACCGTTCTTTGAATGTTGTTTCAGCTGTGATTAAGGATATAAATGTTACAGATATAGAAAACGCCACTGGTATGGAACTAGGATTGGGACAATATTCAGCGTAACTTCGAACATGTTTCATCACATGTAACTTTGGATTCGTAACTTGTAACTTTGGATTCATAACTTGTAACTTTAGTTTTCTAACTTGTAATTCTCAATTCGTACTTGTATTTCTTGTTTTGTAACAGGAACATTGTATTTTGTACATGTATTTTTTATTTTGTAAAATCAAACTTTTATTTTGTACATTTACTACTCATTTTGTATATCAAATATTCATTCAGAAATATGAAACTTTCGTTTTGTAACAAGCAGACTTCCAAATTGAAAAACATCAAGGTACAAGTTTGAAATCAAAACTCTCAAAACACACATTTCATTCTACAGGTACAAACCTCAAATCTACATTGTTACGAATCTTTTTGTCTCGATTCTAGTGCCAGTGGGAGGAACTTGGGTGGAACCAATGAGAGCACGAGTCTTAGCTACCAATCACGTTTCTCAAATGTATTTCATTTTCGGTGTTTCTGAAGGATTTTCTGCGGTAAGTTGAATGTCATCATTTTGTTGCTTTGTGAAGAGTTAGCTAACCGCTTCGTACCAAAATAAGCCAACGACGATATTTTATGTTCCCAGTTTTAGCTAGATAACCTTTAATGAGCTAACTGTGTGCAGCTGTGTTTATGTAACGGATGCTGAGTCGCATCCTTCAGTCTTTGAAACGAGGAAAAAACAAACCCGCAAAATAGCTAAAATTAGCTTATCGATACAGTATCAGCTAAGCAGTAAATGAACACGATGGAAGCCCATTAGCTGCAGGTTATAGCTCAGTAAGAACAGGTATTTTGTTACAGTTGTCTGAAAGTTTATTTGCTTCAGGCATGTCGGGGGTTGTGAGCAGGAGGGTTTAGACAAGATTGATGAGCTGTAGATGGGTTTATTTCAGTTTGTTTGATTCTACGTTTTGAAAATATTCCCCCAGTTTGAAATAGGTTATAAACTTTTTACATTATTAGTTTTATTTGGGAATATTTGTACAATACGTTGCTGGTTGCTGTATCAACACGAACATGCATCAGAAATGGAAGCACAAATGGAGAGACCAATAATAAAGAAAATGTGATTGTGAAGACAAGTAATTATTTAATATTTTTCAGTTAACACTGACTACAACAAACTGCTGAAGCAAGAGACAAACAGGATTACGAACGTAAGAAGATATGTTGTTCTATTTTGTGTACTCAAGTAATAAGAATAGAATTAAGATAATTCAAGAACAGTAGTTGAACAATAACTTTTAAAAATTAGACATTTTCCATAAAACTGCTCATTTCCACTTGCTTTATAATATTAGCATTTGCAATTTTGTTATTAATGAATGACAAAAAATAAGAATTAACAATAACATAACTATGAATAAATAAATGTCAAAGAGTTACTAAAACAAAGATCTTATGTAACCATTAAAGGTTAAACTGTGTTGTGTGTCCATCTTCATGTTTTCATAGTGGCGGAGCGGAGAGCTGACCAGAAACAACGGTAGTGGCAAAACCCAGTTAGGTCTGTGATGGAGTGATACACGCCTGGAGTGATTGCCATCTCATCCACAGTAAGCACACACACTCTTCCCATCGCTGTCAGATTTTTAACCTTCAAACTGAGCATGTCACACACCTGGTTCCAGTTAATGGGCTGCATTTGTCTTTGCAGGGTTCTAACATCAGGCAGAGGGATACTCATGTCCTGAAGAAACCTGTAGGCTGTTGAACCCACTGAAAAACAGAGCTGTACGGCCTCTTTGATTGTCTGTTTACTCCATTTAATGCCTCTTGTGTTTTTCATGCCTTTTTGACTTTCTGTTTCCTCCCTTAGGTTTTCCAGCTGGGTTCCCTGCTTGCATAGCCTGTTCCTTTCTCCTCCTGGCCCTGACGCCGGCACCTCATGGCTTCCTGGGATGTCCCTCTCTCCTGATACCATCTCATGTCCCCTCTCACTTTCCCTAATCTCATTTGCCTCACTGCTGCTGCTGCTTTCCTCATTCTCTGAAATTATAATGGCACTGTTAGAATAAAGAATCATTTTAAAATAAAATAAATAAAAATGTCTAATATTTCAAAAGATTTGTACCACAGTTTACTTGAGTACAACATGTGTGGTCACTGGTCAGTGGATCAACATGCAGTGGTTCTGCTGTACTTCTCACTGCGGGGTCCTTCCTCCTCCTTGGTTCAGGGCAATGAAGAAACACAGCATCAGCCCTGAGTCTCACCTTGCCTTGCCTAAGCTTAGTAAACTGTCCCTCCTCAGAATGTGCCTCTAGAGTGGTGTATTAGTTTATTTCCTGCCACATTTAACAGTTTAATTGCAGCCTTGATGATATTCTATCAGCCAAGAGGCTGAAGCAGAGATCAGAAAGGCTTCGAGAAATAACTGCTGAAAGAAAAATACAAAAACAAATATAAGTTAGTGCTTTAATTTAAAAATGGGGGTTGCAGACTTTGAAATTTAGTATGAAGCTGCTGAACAGTTGAATTGTGTTCATCCGTCCTCTTTGGAATGTAAACATCTGCCCATGTTTCGGGACCGGTTGAGATTAGGCTAATGTTGACACTGCTGCTCAACCTTGTACACTTTAGAATCTGGAGAAATAAAGTTGTGTCGCTTCTGACTGAAAAATTTATTATTGGTCAAATTTAAACCAATTAATGAATAGACTTATTGCTGAATAGTAAATTTTTGTCAATGACCAAATATTTAATTTAATGATGGGGCATGTAGTATGATCTTGACTACATTTCATAACTCGAATTCCAGAAAACATGATAAAGTCTAAAAAAAATCTTTGTTACACACCTAAATTTATTTTATAAATGGGGTTTAGATGATGAATGTTCATTTGGCTGGATGTTTGAGTCTTTGAATTAGAGCTGAAAGATCCCTTGTTAGTACAACTGTGGATGAAATAGAGTCCAGAGTGACAGAGAAAATATCTTGAATATTGGATGATGAGAAGTTTTGCTGAAAACATGTCAAAATCAACAGCGATCTCCCAGAATTTTCTTGTGCTTTTTTGCCCACAGGTCGTGAAACCAGGAAATTGAGTTCTGATGAAGTTGCTGAAGCAAGACAATTGAGGCAGCCAGAGAAGGTCCATTCGAAGTTCTCCTCATCACTCACACTGCTGTGAAGATTGCTGAAAGGCCACCTTGGATTCATCTACCCCACTGCAAGCTCATCGACGTCACCTGACTGCCTTTAGGGCACAACGAAGTCCAGTTTCAAAGGCGTGCTGGCAACAATAGGTGTTCATGTCTCAACCCCGGTGAAGATAAGATCAAGATGAAGATAAAGATAAGATCCGCTTCAAGCTTGCTGGTTTCACCACATTGCTGATGTTGGTGCACGTTCATGGCCCTGCAATTGGGCCGCCTCTCAGCACCCGATGGAACACCTGGGACAGCAGCATTTGAGGGGGTACTAGAACTGGAACTGAAATGACGAATTGGGGCTCC